CCAGAGGTACAAAACATTGATTGGTCTGACTCAAGTTCATTCCCGCATGTCCTGCCACGAAAAAGCAAGCTGCCCACACATGTTGATATGTACGCCACCTGCTTCATGGCAGGAAACTGTTTGAACATCTGCTCTGCCAGGGATAGCCACTGTTGAAACCTAAACTCATTTACCCCGCATCTAATAATTGCAGAGTGCTGGTGGCCTTTTGAAGATGACGGATGTCACAAGTTTCCACGTCCGGATCCCCTGTGAGTTTCAGATTGCCAGCTGTCCGTGACCGGAGTGCTTGTCAACATGGAACCCGATAATGTGACAACCCCAACCCCAAGCCCATGAACGATACTGTCGATGGACAGAATGCACCACTTTGAAGTCATGAGAACCCATTGTTGGTTGGTATTTAGAGGGGAATCATCATTCAAGGGATTCTGAGGTGGTGCAGGATTTCGTCTATCCACATTAGGCACTCGCTATTTGTCCCTAATTGGGGCAAAAGGATGCGTTTTGCCGGAAGCGTGTGGTTGGCAACCATCTGGCAACCATTTGGGTGCGCCGCTTGGGGCACATGGGGGAAACCTGGTCGCGCTCCTTCGGCACGAACATGCGTGGAATATTCGGCACCGAGGGCCGGATCTGCACATCCCAGGCTTCATACTCTCCGCTCCTTGGCTCATTTTTCCAGGTATGGTCTCTTGAGGCATGGATGCTTTTTCACCCTGCATATCATGGAGGTAATATCCATACCTCCAAAAACTATCCTTGGAAAGTCCCTTGATCATATGGGTCATGGTCATGTTTTACATTCTGTCTCCCCTGAGGTACTCCAAATGATTCATCCGCTGATGGTCATATGGCTTTTTCATGGCTCCCTCAAGTGCACTCTAAAGACTGGTTCTCCAACTCCCTTGTTTGGGACGTTGAATTATGCCCATCCCTACTCACCAACAAACATGCAGCTTAGCTAGAGCTCACTTAAAAGACCTGTGTCCGGCAGAGAACAAAGAACACAAGACCATTCGACTACCCTTGTGGGTTGGTCGTTGTTTTGAGTTTTGGAACAACCCTAAGCCAACAAGAACACGGGAGGCTTGGCAAGCTGCATCACGCCAGGCTGGAGATAGTCGGGCTCGTCAAACTCCACCACCACCCTAGGCGAATCTGCAAGTGTGGCCATGGAACACCCCGAGTGCAGAATCCATTCTCGGTTGCTGTTGACCTCTGCAAGAAGTTTAGCTGTTTGTGGGTCCAATGGAAAATCCAGTGTTTCAACACCAACAAGCTGAAAAAGTCCAAAGATCCAACCAAATAGCCATAAAGCATTGAACGCCGCCGACTGCGCGTTGCTTCTGATTGGGCTGCCAAATGCTTTTCAATGCTGAGGGCCTCGAAGCAAGCTTGCGATTCCAGCTGCTAGGTCTGGCCAGGGGGGACCTGCTCACATATACGCACCTGTCCCCAGCATCACCTGTTGCAAAGATCCGGCTCAAGCCACTTCCGTGGACTTGAGGGTAGCAAGGTTTGAAATTTCAGAGGTAGGCAACCACACGGTTTCAAAGCAGGCTAACCACTGCTGTTGTGCGCTTCATCCAGTCCCCCATGCACTGCCCCATACTCATAGAACACACTGTTCCTGCATTGCTTTCTATGCTGCTGTAGCGAGGCCATACTGTTGGACCAGAGTTTGCAACTTGTTGCGCCCTCACATGGGGTGGACACCTGAACGTTAAAGTAGGTCAATTAGTAATTTAACTAAGGAAAGTTAAACAAGGAACTTGTGCGGGTGAAAGAGCTACAAACATGTCGAAAACGCAAGGATTTGCGACGCCTGACCGAGGCAGGTGCGGAGCGTGTGCGGAGTGGGGTCGGCGACGGACCTTTGGGTGGGTCGACCCTCAAAACTTCGTGGGTTTTACGATGTTCACTTCGCTTGTGCAACCCTCTGCGGACTTTCGGGGAGTTGGCCTGTTTCCGTATCGCTTTTCTAGCTTGCACCATCAAAGGTCAACACTCTGCGAACTTGAGTTTCTCACTTTCGTGGGCTGAAGGGAGAGAGAGAGAGAGAGATAGGAACAGAGAAAGGAGAATAGGGAGACAAGCAGCAGGAAAAAGAAAAGCAGAAAAAGATAGAAGCGAGAGAGACAGAGAAAAAGAAGCAAATAAAGAGGAAAAGACAGAAGATCAGAGAAAGAGACGAAGAGAACGAGACCAACAGGAAAAGAAAAAAAGAAAATATAAATTAAAGAAGGAGACAGAGGAAGGGAAAGAGCAAGAGAAAGGGGAGGAGACAGAAACTGAGAAAGATAAAGGAAAGAGAAAGAGGAAGAGACCAAGAGGATAAGGAAGAAAGGCAAAGAGAAAGAGAAAGAAACCAAACATATAAAGACAAAACAGAGAGACAGACAGAGAGAGAGAGAGAGAGAGCGAGACAGAGAGAGAGAGAGAGAGAAAGAGAGCAAGAGAGACAGAGAGAGAGCGAGAGAGAGAGAAAGAGAGAGAGCGAGAGAAAAGCGTGCTCATGCGTGCTCCAAACTATAAATCTCATTTTTTTGGAAGCTTCCTCCTCCTGGCTCCACCAGCTTTAGTGGTATTATCTCGGGAGCCAGCCCGGCCAGCGCTAAAACACACAGAAACAAAGCTGCGGTTCCCTAAGACTTGAAACAAGTGGATCAAGCAACTACGAACTATATGTGGAACAATACGCTACCTCCGATGCCTTCGGCCACGTCCGCCCTCACGCATTTATTTGCATGCACCGTACGCATGTGCACACCATTACAAATCTGTATATATCTGCCATGCTGTCGGACAGAAACGCTGCATCCTTTGCCAAGCCGCTTCTTGGTCCGGTTCGGAGCGGGCTCTTTGATTTTGGCCACCGTTCCTCGGCGTCGATCGTTGACTCGCACCAGGGAGTCGTTGACGATGGGAGCTCCGCCTGGCAATTTGGCAACGCGTTCACAGCCATGTACACAAATCCTATGTTGGCGGGGCCGCGCTGCTTCATATGTCGCTGTTCTATGCTTTTTCCTGTGGCTGTGTGTGTGTGTGTTCAGGTGGGTTGTGCATGCTTGCGTGCGTGCGTGCATGCGTGAGTGAGAAAGCAAGTGAGTGAGTGAGCACGTGTCTGCTTCTGTGTCTGTGTTGTGTTATGTTGTGGTGCGTGGTGTTGCCTCATATCGTATGGCGTCGTCTTGTGTTTGTGCACGTGTGTGTTTGCGTATGTGCTTTCTTTCCGTGTCTTTGCTTGGTATTTGTCTGTTTGCCTCTGCGTTTGTGTTCGCCATGTGTGTGTGTGTGTGGGGTGCTGTGTACTCATTCATGTTATTGTTGTCTTCTTGTTTTGTTTGTGCTGCCATGGTTGGGAATGAGGTAGAAACTGCATTTATGGTTGCGCGCGTGCGTTGCGTGCGTTGGTGCAGGGGCGTGCGTGTGGGTGTGATGTGCGGGTGCTGTGCGTTTGCGTGCGTATGTGTGTGTGTGTGTGTGATGCGCGCCTGTGACTCGCGCGCGCGCCCTTGCGCGTGTGCTCATGTGCGTTTGTGCGAAAGTGTGCATGTGATGTGCGGGGGCGTGTGCATGTGCATGTGTACTCCAAGTGGTTGTGTTCATCGATTTTGAGAGCACGGCTCCTTTGTTGGCATGTTCTCACACCAGCAGGACTCGCACGTAGTCTCACATCCACTCGTGCCTGCTGGGAAGTCCAGGAACCAAAGATCGTGCAGTGCCTGCGGGCAGCCACGAACAGGTCTGCAGGGGAGAAAGTGGGAATGACCCCCCGCCACCCTGTTCCATCCAGAATTCCCCAGAGCCATTTGCATTTTGCAGAACTCACATTTCCGGCCTTCATTATTTTGTCATAGGTCACGGTCACTTCACCATCGCCCTGCACAATTGTCCCGGCGAAGTGCACAAGGTCCTGCGATCCATCCAGTTGGGAACAAGTTGCAGCGGAAAAGTCTTGCCTGTAGGCTATTGATGGTGCCCATCTGTGACGTGACCATGCCTTGGATGGGCACGGCTTACTGCCTTACTCTTGGGGCCTCGCAGCGGACAGCCAGGTGGCGGATCAAGAAGTTGTTCATCTCCGTAACGGATTGTGTTCGCGCGATGAGCTTCAAGCCATCCTGAGGGCAAGTTGCTCAGGCAAAATGTGAGGAACCCACCGGCACCTGAGGCACCTGAGGCACCTGCATCGTTCAAGCGCGCGTTGTTGCCGTTGGTGGACATTGGAGCTCGCCAGGATTCAAAGCGCGTCCTTACAAGGCGCTTGCCTGCTTGCGCGGAGGGATCGGACGAATCGCAAGTCAGCACGACGGCAAGTCAGCACGACGGCAAGTCAGCGTGTCGTTGCTGCGTCTGAGCGGCAGGAACAGAACCAAGGCCACCCAAAGGTACCACAAGAAGTTGCTGAACATGATATTCTTTGCCCCAGACCTCACCACTGACTCTGCTGGCAAACAGAAACAGGCGGCCGGTAGACACAGCGGATAAACGAGGCAAAGGTTGTGGGTTGACGCAACTTGCCGTGTACAACCTCGAAGAACTCATAAAACGAGGGGCCAATAGGGACTGGCAACACATTCAACCCGAAGTCCGCATGATTTGCAGCACCTTTCAGAAGGTTCACGTAAGGCAGCCTGGGGCTCTTTGAATGGCGAAGTCATGAACCCGGGCCTTTTGAGGCTTAGAGTCAGGCTGACACGCCAAGGTGCACGACACTTGTAAACAGCAGCCCCGAAATCAGGACGGACCGCCATGCCAGCACATAGCCTCGGCCATGCTTCCGGATGTCAAAGACAGCTTTCTGAGCATCTCTCTGTCTAGTGTGGGGACGCTTGAAGTTATTTTAGGGGGATGAGGGAAGAAACGGGGTTTCCCCCTATGAGTTTTGTTGACCGGTTCGCAAGAATGGTTCGAGGCCAATCTGACCGAATGCTTTTAGTCCAGGGGCCGATGAAGGCCAACACAGCCATCAGCATCTCGTCAACAATCTCGATTTTGATGTCCATGGCGTCATCCAGCAATTCCTGTAGACTTAGGAATGTATGTCTTACACATTGGAAGCTCTCAGACAAATTAGAACCTGTGACACATTCTGCAGCCCAAAGAGGTCCCCTCAACCAGATTCCTCCCTGGCAAGCTGTCCTGAACATCCAGCTTCGGCAAAAATTCCTCCTGGATGAATGTTGCCTGCAACCAGGCTTTCGAAATAAGTGTCAACAAAAGCAAAAACGTCACATGGAAATGCTTGGCAAGTTGCGAAGGTCATATAGGATGGCACCAGCGCTTTTGCGAAGAGAGCGGAATTCGGACTTACGAGCCGCGTCAGCTTCAGCTTCACATGAATCCTCAGCATATTTGTGCTACCGGAGTGGATTTCTTGGCGCAAAAACAAGAAAAACGCCATGCGGACGGCATGGGATGTCGGCCCTTGGCAGTTTGGATGTAGGCCAAAATCGGATGGCTCAAGTCGAACACCGACTGTGCCCCTTGGGTCATGACATGTCATTTTGTTTCAAGAGTGTACCTGTGTGTGGGGGGGGGGGGGGTGGGGGGGGATGGAGGAGGGCTTAGCGTGAAAACAGAGCGGAAAACAGACATCCATGCTGGAAGGCTTCGATTCCAACAAAAGAACGAGCCACCCACATGTGTCTTTGGTTTCCGCGAGATATCCAACCCCTTTTCCCACTGTGGATGGACAAAATCCTGCACCACTTTGAACCCATGGGAAACCATTGGTAGTTGGCATTTACGTTGGGGAATCAAATCATTCCAGGGTTCTTAGAGTCTGAGGTGCTGCGAAATGGACTTCGCAACCATCCACTGTCCATGGATTCGTCCGTCGAATGCCGAATTCCAACAGAAAACGGCCTTTGGGTGTCCGGTTCTCACCGAGCTTCTCACCGGCGTTGAACTGCGTGTCGCTGGGCGGCTCCTCGCCCTTCTGGGCACCCACCAAGGAACCCCCTGTGGCCTGGAGATTTCAACCGGCGCGTCATCTACGGCACTGGGGCCACGGACCAAGGGGAAACCAAAAAGTCGAAAGCTGAAAGTGTGGGGCAAGTGAGACGCCTTAAAAAAGGGCCTTCATTACTTCCAAACTCAGCTTTGCCGATTAGGATTTGCTTTTTTTGTTGGATGGTTTGAGCATTGGTACCTTCCCACACATTTCAACTGCCAGGGATGCAGGCCACCACCAATTCAGGATTGGCTGCCCCACGGATTCAGCTGTGGCAACTCGTCGGCTGCCAGGCACACGCGCAAAAACGCATCCCTTTGGGGCGCTTCTTGCGGGGGCCTTGATGCGCTTGAACATGCGGCTCGCAAAGGACGTCTTGATCTTTGCAGCTTCCACCACAGTCACGTCCTTCTCCAAGGCTTCCTAAGCGGAGCCACGCGAGCACAACTCCCTGGCTGCCATCGCAGGCAAGGGGCAGAGCCGGTGCCTTCCGGTTGGTTCTTTGGCTGATTGTTTGGCTTGGTCGACATGGGCACTTCCATCCTCAGCTCGGTGCCGCCTGAGCGTCCTTTCCAAAAACAAGAGTCAGCACTGCCACCAACTTGTGGCCTTTTGGAAAAATCGATGGATTTCCATCTATTTAAATCGAAGACGCCCCATCTGCACCAGTGGAACCCGTCTATTTTCAACCAACCTAACCGAACAGCACACCTATTGCCCATGCCCAGCGGCTCTTCCTCGCGGCGGTTCATGTGCTCGTAGTAGCGGTCCGAGTTCACACCCTGCAGGTTCCCGGGGAAGCGCAGCTCCAGCCATCCCTCGATCTCCTGAAAAAAGAAAACGGGAGAGCGAGGAGTGAAGCCACGGAAACCACATGGAAGCCACGGCAAATGGAAACCCGTGCCTTCCCCATTCTGGGATCCTTCTCAAAGAATAGGCCAAATCCCTAGGAAAATGGGTGGTTTCTAAAGAGAACGATGGGTGAAGAGAATGGGGAATCAACCCTTAGACATGTAAGTTCCGCATGCAGAAATGGGCTGAACAAAACAAAAAGCCTTGCACCGCAACTCGAAGCGTGCAGCCGTGAGACCTCGTCAAAGGGGATATCTGCGACGCGAAATTCCACAAAGCCGATGGGGTCAATCAGCGAAGAGTTGTCGGTGGAATCGGAGTCATAGACATGCAGCCTGACAATGCTCAAATCCGCCACGATGTCGAACTTTTGCTTGTCCTTCGGAGCGTCACGGACTTGACGAACAGCGTGCCTCTCTGAAACACATATGAAGCAACCCTCCCGTGCATATCCTGCCAGCGTGGGTTGCGGTCGTTGTTGATGGTTGCCGTAGAGTACTTGAAGCAGTCATCCACAAAGACTTTCACAAAACCGTCAGGCTCGTCACCTTCAAGCAGCCAGGAAAGCGCTTCGACCCAAGCCAGACCCATGGACCGGATATGGACCGGGTATGAGCTGAAAATACGTTTGTCCGACTCCCCGGATCCGCGTTCCCCTTTGAAACGGTAGGACCTTGAATCGAGGA